TATTATATTATCTTGAAACAGATTTTATTGTATCATACTGTATTGTAAGAACAACATGATATTGTAAAACTGATTATACAGTATTTTATTTGAAGCAGGTTTTCAAGAGTCCCATGGTTTATACCTGTGAAATATTTTAACAGGAAAAAAAAAAACATTTCTAGTTAATACTTGTTAAAGAAAACGCTTGTGCTCTGATTGCATGATAAACCGTTACTTTTTCTGAGTATTTTGTGATTGACTTACAAAATCTACATCATGACAATGTGTCTAGAGTTAGTGTACTCCTTAATAGTGAGCTTACTGTTAAAGCTCAAATCCAGGTCCCTGACTTTCAGTCAATATGAATTCATAACATCATGTGTGTACTGTGTACTGTGTATGTCGTATGACCCTAGACACAGGGCAGGAGACAGGATGAATGGCGCTGCTGCTGCTGCCGGAGGATCATGAGAATCATGTGAAGAGCTTTCTGTAAATCAATAAAATTGACCACACAGACAGGAAATGTTTTCTCTCCACGTCTGGCAGACTCAGCTGAGGCATCCAGCAGTCAAGAGGCCGACTCCGAGGTCCAGAGTTCAACAGCATAACCTGTGTTTACAGAGGCTAAGTGGTGATATCCCATTGTTGGCCTCTGCAGAGGAGGAATAGTGATGAAGAGGGTCAACAAGCACGCCGTGTTCAAATAAAACAGCTCTGCTCCCTGCCTCCTTGTTAGAGCACACACAAAAATGTGCTGCCCTATCTCTCTCTTTCTCCCTCTCTCTCACACACACACAAACATACACACACTGACCTTTTTTCTCAACATCAACAAACCTGCAAAGATGCATCGAGGAGAGCGTTTGAATTTAATGAGAACAAGCACTTATTCCATCCATTAACTCTCATGATAGCACTTGGCCCTGACTGCAAAGTTATTAAAATGTTGAATAAAAACATCTCCAGAGCCAAGGTTGAGCTAGAATTGCAGAAATATCATGTTTAAAGAGCCAAAAGGCAAGAATATTAACACATCAAACACAAAAGGGCAAGAAATTCAAGTATCTACTGTATTTGTGTCTCATTCTTCACATGTGAAATAGCCCTTTATTAATCAACAAAGAGGGTAAATAAATACACACAAAGGCTCCCTTTCTTTCTAAGAAGCCCTGTACTGTAACTTTACTGTAACAGGAAAGCAAATTTTCTTCATAGAGAGGAGGGTCTCTGATGTAATTAAGTTCGGGTGAGTTAATCTAACTAGTAATACACTGTAATATAAGACAAAATTCAAAAGCAGGCTCATACACCATCCAACCTTTTAGCTGTGAACTACAACATAAAGAGAACATTATGTTTAACATTTGTCAAGCTCTTATTTGGCTCAAACCCAGATCAAATGAAAAAAGGATCTGTATCTTTAATATCTATCATTGACTCCTGAGTTGTGCGGTCTCTGTTTCTCCTCCCTTGTGAGGCAGGTACCTGGCTGTTTGTTGGCGCACTGTGCTGCTTGTGTTCACCATAATTATAATCTTGATTTGAGCAGGATGTGGAAAAGGTGAGAAAATATTCTACTCAACTAAAAGTGAAGTGACCTGAATGAAATTTTACTCAAGTAGAAATAAAGGCATTAAATCTGTGTGTCAATCTACTCAAGTAAAAGTCAAAAGACTTTATTTAAAATTGACTGGCTGTTTATGGCGGCCGTAGCTCAGCGGTAAAGTCAATCTTCTCATCAATCAGAAGGTTGGGGAGTTGACCACGGTTCCCTTTGTCCACATGCTGAAGTATCTTTGGGCGAGATATTTAGCCCCAGTCTGTCTCCACTGTCAGTGCCAGTGGTGTGTGAATGGGTTGAGTTCATGCCAGTGACTGCTTTACATAGCAACCATCAGTGTGTAAATGCGACATGTGATGGGAGAGTTTTGAGTGGTGAGACGGCTCGAGGAAGTGCTTTATGAATACAGTCTATTTTAGCAGGTGGTAAAGGAGTGAAGGGGGTGAAAAGTAAGAAATGACCCTCAAATTCTGCTAAAACCTTTTTTCATACCTGAAAGTAAATGTGTGAAGGGATCCAACTGACTGGACACAAACCCTGATTAAGTAATTATTTATACTGCATTTTTAAAACAATAAATCTTTATTTATACAGCATCAATTCATAACAAATGCTATCTCAACACAGTCTGCAAACAGAGCAACAAGACTCTGTCATCTGTTAAGTTTCTCTTCTACACCGCTGCAGTCTTTTTCTCATGTTGGATAAAGATAGTTTAAGATAAAACACCCATCTGCTGAGGACATGTTGGGCTTGAGAAGAGGGAGATGCAGAACAAGAGAGATGGATAGATTCAGAGCAAAACAACAACAACAGTTCACACAAACTTAAGATTATAGTGTCAATTAATAAACTCTTTACAGTCACACTAAAGTTATGATAATAGACTGATCTTATCGTAAAAGAACAGTTTCTATACCACACTTCTCTGTACCTCTAAATGTTGCAAAAACACAAAGTATATCACTAGACAACATCTCACAATACAACATTTTTGTCGGATGTATATGATGGGGGAAAACTGTCTTTCTGTTTGGGGTTAACAAGGTGAGAGGAGGTAAAAGTAGATTTTAAGATTTATTTAAGTGAACAATAAGTACTACAGTACAATTACAGTATCATAAGTAATGTAACTTTTTATTTTTATTTTCAACCTCTTAATTTAAGTCTACATGTTGAAAAAGGTGCAAAGGAGATGCAGATATATATGAACCACTATGAAATAATGTACAAAGGAATTTCTCCCCTTTGTTATTTTGGAAAGAATTTTTTTCAGTGCAGCAATTTCTTCTCGATAATCATTCAAAAACAAACTTCTCAAAAGTTAAAATACTATCAAAGAATTTGTCATTTGTCTCTGTTGTGATTTATTGAATGAATATTTGACATCGCAGGCTGGTTGTTTGAAGTGTTGCTGTTATGATCCTAATCTCCTTAAAGGTGGGGTAGGCAGGATCTGAGGAAGTGCCAGTTTTTGGGAGAAATCTTGAATGTAAACACTACCCCTCCCAACCAGTTTTCGCCTCAGCTCCTCCTCTCCCCTACCTCTCTGCTTCAACAAGCCCCGCACACAAACAGACGTTCCTTCACGCTCATATCGTTTCGATTAAATTCAGATATAATGCAGATAAATACTTCAGATAATTACTAATGGGGCCCAGTCAACGTGAAAGTAAACAGCATTGGTGCTACTGTAGATGCCAACAGATGACCAGCAAACACAATGTTTGCAGGACTTTTAAAACTAGGATAAAGTGACAAACTCCGGGACCCGAGGTCAACAGTCTAGCGGTGCTACAACACCGTTTGACAAGAAACACTTCTGTTACAGACACTTGGCTTACTTTGTTGAAGTGGTTTACCTGTCCGTAAGATCCCAAAGCGTCCACCATCATTGTTGACCCGCCGTTTTAGCTCTTGTCCGGGTGGTCTACCTCCTTTTTAAGAGCTTCTTACTACGCCAGAGTCTCCAGTATTTACTTCGTTTTCTTGCTTGATTCAGGCAATTTTCTGTACTTTCTGGTTGGTTTCTACTGTCCGATATTGTAGCACACTAACTTTGTTTGGGCTCGTGAACGTCTGCCTCACAACCAATCAGGTTGGGGGAGGCAGAGAATGGCTTTGTTTACAGTCAGAAAGAGTGGGACGCTCAAAAATTTTAAATGTTGACTATACAGACACAACAGAACACAGCCATATTGTGATATTCCCAAACGTCATCAATAAATAATAGCTATTGACTGAAATTAAAAGCTTTTTTGTATATACACCACAAAAAGATTCTCGTTTAACAGAATCCTGCCTACCCCACCTTTAAATTAAGTCTAATAAGTGTGTGATTTTCCTCAGTGTGGTGGTCATTCTAGGCATTTAAGCAGTCTAAATGTTCTGCTGTGCTCAGAGATTATACACATTTATGCAGCCTAAACCTGAATGGGAACCTCCCGGCCCCTCCCGCACACAGACACAAGCAGAGAAAAGCTAAATTGAGAGTTCTTGATGTGACAGAGTGGGAGCAGCCCCCTGGTCATTAGCCTGAGAGGGCTGCAGAGTGCTGAGCATGCAGAGAGGCTGGCTCTGTGCCGCCAGCCTCCATCTGAGCAGCCAGGCGGAGTGTGTAAAGTCTCGCTGAGTGTGAGGTCAGGCAGAGCAGAAAGTGAGCCAGAAGAAGGAAAAAACTGTAGTGTTGTGCTTGTTTTGCAGGTCATTGAGTCATTACAGCATGAAAGAATAATGTGTGTGAGCTTGTCTGCTCAGAGGATGGATAAACTTCAGCTCTTTGTCAGCTGACACCTGCTCAAACCCGACTCTACAGCCGGCTTTGTAACAGGACCAGAGAGCTACAGCACGAGTCTCTTCAGAGCAACGTCAAACCGTGTTATTCAGGCGCAGTTAGGCAGAGAGCAGCTCTTTGTTGAATCACTTCTCTGGTTAAATTGTCTGAAGTGCTTGTCAGCTCGCTTGTTGCAACAATGCTTTGCTTCTCTATCTGTGGGTGAGGTCTGGGTTGAGGTCTGGCTGCCGTGTTCCCTCCCTTAGTAGAGCTGAGGGGTGAGTTGTTCAGCGCCGGGTGCTGCCCCGGTGCGTTCAGGAACATTCCAGGCGCACAAATAAAGCTGTAGCTGTGCGCCTTTTGTTGCACTGCTGACTAGACACAAGGCTTTTTTCTGCAGGGCTGCTGCCTTTAAAGGACCGAGTCGTGCATCCCTGCTGGTAAATGATCTGACACACTTTTTCCTGCTGCAGTCTTTTCACGAGCCCTTGTTGTTAGGCTGTCGTTGATATTCTCCTTCTGCCTTCCCGCCTTCTCCCTCCCTTCCCCTTTCCTCCCCTCCCTCCTCTCTTTCAAACACTTTTGCACACACATTGCAGGCAGATGGAGAAAAAAGGTGTCTGTATCAAAGATATTTCCTCCCCCTTCTTAAGCAGCCTTCTACCCAGCAGAAGCAGCATGGGATTAATAAATTCAATATGAATTGAAGGCTAATGAAATGTGCACCCCCACCTCCTCTCCCTCCTGACTGCCAGGCTCTGGGAAGGAAGGAAGGCTGAGCTCCTTGAGAGAGGGAGAGAATGAGATCATTGTCACAATTACACCATCAAAAGCAGCAGTCAGCACAACCATAAAACTGGCCCCGCCATCAGGAAACTGACCTGGGTGACTGGAGTCGACATGCCTGGCATTCCTCTGTGACACGGTGCTTTGTCATTTTCCTCATGGTGACACAGAGGGACAAGCCACTTCAAGGGATGCTGTGTTCACACTGTGTTTCAGGGAGGTGTTATTATTCAGGTTTACAATGTCTGCTTCCATGTGGAGTCGTTTCGAGAGAACATGCAGAGTACTCTTGCTTTAGTACTGTTGCTGCTTGTTTGCTGTGGTGGCTTTTTATTGTATCCTTCTGCACCTCATAAGTACCTATACATGTATATATATATATATAAAATATGTATATATACTTTTTTTGCACATGTGTCTACACTATATTTGAATCTGTAGACTGTATTCTGTATTCACCTGCTGCATAATGAATGAGAACGAAAGTCGGTTGAAGTTCTGACTGAAGTGTCCCACCTACAGCTGTGACTTTTGTAGGGGTGGCATGAAATATGAGCCCACATAAACACAAATGAATTGCATCTATTCACCCTTGTAATCAGATGTACTTTTAGCATATTCAAGTTTGAGAAGATTTTATAACTCTGTGCCTATATCTTTTACTTTGACAACTCACAATAAAAGCGGCATTAAAGCTCCTGTTGGGAACTTGTGGTTTATGTCCCAGAGTAGTTGTTGCCTAACTTGTCCTCAACATGCTTAAACAATGTCTTTTGATTAAAAAAAATCTCATCCCGATGACTTGTGATTTTCTAAAGTACCCTTTATTGTGAATATTCTTGGTGGAAATTTTGAAAACAGAACTATTTCTTGAGCTGCTCAGCCGTCCTCTTGCTGCTTCAGACATTCAAAATGAAAAAATATACATAGTCAATCATGTTGCTAATGGTATTGTTAGAACATCATACAATGGCATCAATACAAATTTCAGTCAATTTCATAAATGTATAAAACCTCCTTAAAAAAGCTTGAAATCTTTGAAACAAGAAGAATGTCAAAAGTCACAATTTAAAGTACTATAAAAAAGACATAAGAAATAAAACACAAAGAAAGCCATGACACATAGTGATTAGAAATATAGCCTCTGATTGGTCAACAAGCCAGAACATGATGTCAGCCTCGGTCTAGTATAGTCAGCTAACAACAGAAACCAGACTTATCAAAATGTACTCATAAATCCTCACCCATTACCTTTTATATTTGAGGAATTGGACCTAGGCAGTCTCTGAAAAGACCTTTTTTTTCTCTCTGAGGAGGAAAAGCCCCAAGAGGTTGCAGAAACATACTTTATTACTAGATGGCTGTCGGTCTCACAGTGCGAGTGGATTTTACAGTGAGTTGTTGTACTGGTCTATTTTTAGAGCTAATTTTGTAAACACAACAATATTAATAATACAAAATAACATGTTGTATGTGTCAGTGTCAACTCCATTAATTACTAAACTTTAAATATATGATGGTTCCACTTTTTTTTACATGTTTTAGAAGAGGAAAACACTTAGCCAAGTTAGCCAAGGATTACAGAGTGGCTGCTGAGATGGACAACATATCTGCCAACATATGTTGCCGTAGTCATGTTAGACAATAAAATTCCTACAGACTGCAGCCACACACCCCAAGAATCACATTGTAGGTTGTTCCGTAGCTAAAGAGAGAGATAAGGATGTATATCATGCTGAAGATTACCTGGGAACTTAAGTATCTGCCAAGGAAAACACAGACTCTTTGTATCCATCCTTGCTATAAGGATTTTTTATACCATGAAAATCCCAGTGGATCCCAGGAGTAACAAAAAAGCATGAAGAGGGCAAGGGATGGTCTTAAAACACAGGAGAAACCCAGGAAACACAGCAGGTTTAGTGGGCAATCAGATTTAAAGAGGGGCCCTGGTCACCCCTGATTACCTCTCTGAATCAGCCTCTGCTTGTCTTATTTATCCCTTCCAACAACCACAAAATGTAAATATCAGTATTTCTGCTGCATTATTGGAGACATTTTCTGTGAACATTAAGGGTTAACTTAGCCCTACAGTTTTTTTTTTCTTTTTTAAGATGGCCAAGGTGACTCTGTGAACCTTGTAACACTCAGTAAAACAAAGGGGCAGTTCAGCCCTTAAGGATGAGAACGTGCAGATATTCTTTCATGGCAGTTCTTAAAAATATAAAAACATAAAAATTAAGGCTAAAACGGTTACATATACTCCAAGATACTGCATACGGTTTTAAATCCTCAGTTTCAGATTATGGCTGTTTGTGCTGTTGTAAAGGACACAGCAGCCACAGGAAACACATCCAGGTTTGCAGACACTGCAGTTTCTCCACCACCCATATGGACTGCTGCAATTAGATCAGAAACAGAAGCAGAGAAAGAGAGTGAGAGAGACAGGCAGACAGAAAGAGAGAGAGAGAGAGAGAGAGATGGAGCAGGGGAGGGCAGTGAGACAGAGAGCGATGGGGGTGTTAGAGTTCAACTCAAGGGCGTGCTGAGAGGCGAGGAGAAGGTCAGAGCAGAGCGGTTGGTGCGGCTGAAACCCTGGTGCAGCCGTGTTTCCAATTAGAGCAGCCTGAGCTCCTAATTGTTTAATGGGAGGCTGTGTGTGGGACGGAGGAGGCTCCCTGTGTTCTCCTCCTCAGCTGACTTATATAGTGGCCTGTTTACACCACCCAGTAAGCCTCCAGTCATCATGATAACATTTCATTGCCCCATCAGCACAGCCACCAACACACATCAGCACCCCTATCCCCTTCCCCGGCCCTCTCCAGCCCTGCCCCCTTAGCTTCCTGCACTGAGCTCATTGCATTAGTTGATCACACTGCAAAAAATTGCAACACTTGCAGAAATGTGAACATGAACGTTCGGCTGTGATTGATGGATATTGCTGAGCTCTATTTCAAACAAACAACACATGTGAGACCCAACAATAGTTATTTGATTCGTCAGGTCTGAATCTCGGCTCAATTTCCAGCTCATAAATGTCAAAGTCTGACTTCAATGTGGCGCCCTGACTTAACTCATGATGAGGCTGTGAAACATGTGGAGACGAATCAAGATGATTAATGGATAAAGTTTAAGCCTGATGAATGGAGTGGTGAGTGTTTCATAAAAGATTTAAAACCCACTTAACTCTGGTCAAACTCTAAATTATGTAATTCAAGATTCTATATTTTTGACACACGTACAAACACAAAATAAGTAAATTAGACAGTGCTTTTTTTCAGTTAAAAAAAAGAAATAGAAAAGATAAAGAGCCTTAATCAGCATTAACAAGTTCCCCAATAACTCATACACAACCCATATATAACTGCCTATCTTTTACTGTATGGCACTTTGGTAAGCCACTAGCTTTTTTTAAATGTGCTATATTAATAAAGCTGACATTGACATTGACATTATGTGTTTTTATGTGATCATGTGATTTGATGTGATTTTAGGCATGTCAGCCCAGAGATATTGGTTTGGCTCTACACTGTACTTTATTAATCCCAGATCACAGATGTTTTGACACACACAAATATTCAGAGATACTCATGGAAAAAAAGACACAAAAGAAACAAACTGGTAGAGAAACCTACTGTTCCAAATAAAAGGTAGAAACATAAAAGTATAACAGAAATATCCAGAGTGCAAATGTAAACAGTGTGCAAAAGTGTTCATACTGAAACGTGAAGGGGTTAAAAAAAAATACAAAAGTTTGCACACTGAACAGCATAAACAACAACTTTTTTTTTTTTTTTTACCCCTGATGATGAGACAGTCTGATGTAGCTGCTTAAAGAAGGACCTTCAGTAACATTCAGTCCTGCACTTGAGTACTATTAGCCTGTGACAAAAAAAAGTCCTCTGCTGAAACACCTGTGAACGGTGGAGTGGGTGAGTGAGGTTTTGAAATTTTGAAAGCATTCTTGATACCTTATAAAATCTATCTAGAGCTGGCTCTGTGTACAGCTTCTCTTACCAGTGTCTTAATTTGGGACTCAGCTGAATACAATAAAATATACTTTATGATCTTGACTTTTGAATCTATTATAGCTATAACTGCTACACTGATATACCAGTGTGGTCCGAAACCATGACTCAGAGGGAGGAGACGGCACCAAAGAGATTATTCTGCAATCAGTTATCATCAATATAGCAGGTCCTGAGGAGCTAACTTCCTCTATGTAGCTCCTTCTACAGGTCTACTTCTATGCTTCATAAACCTTTCTGCGACTGCTTTTGTGACGATGTTGCTTGCTGACATCTGTCTGGATGGTGGCTCAAACCTTAAGTAGTTTGATAAAGTGCTGAAAAGAAAGCTGTGTTTAAAATGGATGAAAATAAAATAATGGCCATGAGTAAATTACATGAAAAGTCAGTGTAAAGATGGGATTAGATGCAAGCTCTCATCAGGTAATGCAACATTTACATCATGTGTGAATGAACTCAGTATGAACGTCAAAGTGAAAGTCTAGGTGCAAACACAAATTTGTGATGCACTACTCACTTCATTTGTTTATTTCCAGCTGTTGAAAAATCTGAACACTAGCGAATCACTTGTGCCACAGTAGCCAATCAATCAATCAATCAATTTATTTATAGAGCACTTTTCATACATGGACTGTATCACAAGGTGCTGTACATTAAAGAACACAAGAAGGAGAGGATCAGGGGATACCGAATAAAATACAAGATAAAATACAAATTGCAAAACCCCACACCCACACACACACACACACACACACACACACACACACACACACACACACACACACACACACACACACACAACCGCTGGGACACCAGGTCAGGGCTCAGCAGGAAGCCCCAGTGGACCAAGGAAACGCTATCTTAAACTAAAATTGGGAAACACTGGAGCTGAAGCTAAACGGATAAAACCATGACAAGATATAGGAAACTCATAAAATGATAAAAAAAAATAAAATGAAATAAAAGAGTAATAATAATAAATTAATAATAAAATATCATATAATAAAACTGTTTTTTAATCAAACAATTAAAGAAAATGAACATATAGTGTTAAAACATAAAATAATAATTCTGGGACTAAAGTGGATTAAAATACACAAGATAAAAAGAGTAGGCTATAAGAATGAAACAAAAATCAGCTAAAAAGCCAGACTAAAAAGGAAGGTCTTGAGTTTGCGTTTAAAAATATGAACTGTAGGTGTCGCTCTCAGGTCTTCAGGCAG